GGGGGGGGGGGCTTTGAATCCAAAAAAGTTTTTTGAGGAAGGTTTTGACCACCCACGTCCATTTATCGTCAAAAAAATTAAACGCTGGCGTAAGATGAGTCGCTTTTTTAAGCCATTTTAAATAACGATGAAAAACAGGAAAATCCTGAAAAGTTTTTTTTAACAATGAGCGCAAAGTTTGACATCAACGAAAATTGGCCAAAATGACTCTCTTACATCCCTAATGAACATACTTGAAGGAATTTTTTGTCCTCCGAAGGGATCGGTATGAAACAGCGCTTTGAATGCCGAAAACCCCGCATTTTTCGCTAAAATTGGCCTTCTGACCCATGTTTAGGCCAGTGAAAGACCCCGAAATGGATCGAAAATGACCAAACCATTATGCATTCCGTAAAAAATAGACCTTCAATGACCAAAAAATCGCGGAGTTGAGGAATTTCAGGATGGGCCCAAAAAAGGCCCTTAACCAAATCCCAACCAAATCCCAAAACCAATCCCTCCTTTGGATTGTTTCTCATGGAAGAGATGAATTAAAAACGGAAATTTTGAAACACCGCAATGGAGATACGTGGTTTCGCACTTCAGTCGGTGCGATGCGGACATCCATCAAGTTTAAAAAGTTGCATCAAGTCCCCGTCACCGCCGACCAACGCGTTTGTCGATCGAATCAACTACAGGTATTATGCGTAGGAAGTCAAAACGCCTTCAAATTTTTGAACGCAATACGGACATCCGTCGAGGTTGTATAGTTGTATCAAGGCACTGTAGCAAACGCGTCCCATAGAGGTCATCTAACCAACCCACAGTATTTGACCATGTGGTAGCTTGTGTTGCCTTTACTGAGAATTGAAGGCAAACTGACATGACGCGGGATTAATTTCTACACGTTTGATGGATACCTATAATGTTATAGCTGTTAGTCGTGTCGTGTGCGTTCTATCCAAGTGAGCTTACGAGTTCACAATGATGCCGCTATTCCAATTCTTTCTTCATTTCTTTTTCCTCTTTTCTTCTCCCTTTCAGCCCTTTCTCTATGCGTTTTTCCTTCTTTTTATCTCTTTTCTTCATCTTCCTCCTATTCATTATCCTCCCTTTTTATGTTCTTCCTCGCTTCAGCATCCTTTTTCACTTCTTATTTTTCGCTCTTTCTCCTCATACGTGATCGGGTGGTGGTACCGTCGTGAAATGGGACGCTTACCTGGAAGACACTCATAAAATAGCTTTTTATCGAACCGGGAAAGGTTACTTTGACTTCATACCGGTTCGCCTTCAATTTGTAGTGTATGCAAGCTGAGCTCCCACGATGTCGAATAGTGGTATCATACCCCTTATTATAGTCAGATGGTCGCTGCCTCTGGCAGCGAATTAACTTTATGTAGACACAATTTTTGTTAAGAATTAGAATCGCGTCAACTTATTCAAATTTGTGAATGGTATGCTTTAATGTCGTAAGAACGTTGAGTTCGAGTTTAGGTTCAATGAGTGCATTTCGACGGTGTAAGTCCGCAACCACGTATCTCGTTTGCGGTGTTTGAAAATCTCCGCTCCTATTTGATTTTTTTAAAAGAAGAACTCAGTAAGCGGCATCGTCTCTTGAAGTTTTAGCAGAATTTTTTTCGCACAGAGCAGAAAAATCACGGCAGTTTTGAAGAGGTATGACAGGAAGTCTGCTACGTCGCAATCCGAGGTACGTAGTTGCGGACTTACACCGTCGATTTAGGTACTGCTTGCCAATAAGAGGTGCGAGTGCCGCAAATGATCCTCTTACGATGTTTTCCACTATACTACTCTTTTTTTATTTCCCCTCCGAGAAAAAGCAGATGGAAAGAGGAGGGAAAAGGAGGAAAAGGAGGAAAAGTAGAGGAAGAAGAATAATGATAAGACAATTAGTTGAAAAAGGAAAGGAACCAAAGGTGAAAAAAGAGAGGATGGAAAAGGGAAGAATGAAAGAATAAGACGAGATGAGGAGGAGGAGGAGGATGATGAGAAGAAGAAGAAGAAGAAGAAGAGGAAGAAGAAAAAAGAGGAGGAAAAGGAACAGAGGAGAAGGAATGTGAAGAAAAGAGGAAGAAGAGGAAAAGAAACAACAAAGTTAAACGGAGAAGAAAATAAGAAGAAGAAGAAATGAGAAAAGTAAGAGAAGAAACAGAGAAGGGAGGAGAAAGTAGAAAAGAAGAAGAAAAAATGAAAAAAGAAAAGAAGAGAAGGAAGAAGAGTAAGGCAAAAGGATTTTATTTTAAATTTGAGCAGATTTATTTAGACCGGGAACATTAAGAGGGAGGAAAGAGGAAACAGTGTGAGGTAGGGGAAGAAGGTGAAGAAAAAAGGAAGAAGAATAAGCCGATAGAAGGAGAAAGATGAAGGAGAAAGATGAAGGAGAAAACAGGGATAAAAAATACCAAAGAGAGAGAAAAATGATAAAGAGAGAGGCCGAGGAAATGAAGATGGAGAGAAAAGAGAAAGAGAATGAAGAAGAAACAAAGAGAATGGAGAGGAGGAAAAGAGGGCAGAAGAAAATTAGAGAATAAAGAAGAAGATGAAGAAAGGAGAAGCAAGTTCAATCGGGACACACAAATAACAGCCTTTTTTTTTTCTTTATTCAAAATATAGAGAACTACAAAGTATTAACTCTAAACGAGGGGGAATTCTTTTTACGAATGGGAAGAGGTTACTTGAATGTCATGTCAGTTTGCCTTCAATTTTTGGTCTAGGCAACCCGTGCTCCCACGTGGTCGAATAGTGGTATCATACCCCTCATAATCAGCCGGTCGCTGTCTCTGGCAGCGATTTCACTGTAGACACGGTGCAACATGCCATGTAGACACGACATTTTTTGGTAGAAAATTAGAATAGCGACAAATTTTTCAAATTTGTGAATGGCATGCATTTATGCCGTATGGGGGTCTTAGAGTTAAACTTCGGGTTCGAGCGCATAAATGAAAGATCAACTTAAGTGCACGTCTCCTGCAGTGTTTTTCTTCGAAATATTTGTTATTTTTTTATTAAAAAGACATAGGAGAAGAGATAGAAGGAGAAAAGAGAAAGGAGAAGAGGAAGGATGTTTCAAATTTTCAAGTTACAACCTCAGAAATGATTACATATTACAGCTTAAATAATATATTCATAAACCAATTTCAATGGATATCCTCTCGTACTTTCCTTGGAGGCATGACTCATTTTTCCCATGTTTTTCCCTCGAGAAAATTAATGTCCTGTAGATTGAAGTTGATTAATTACTTGGGCTTTTGCCCCCGCTCTCATGAAAGGCCTAAAACTGGCGAACCAATCAGGGAGCGGTCTGGGCATAACACTACTCTTCCTACATGGGAACTCTATCTGAGTCGAGAGGTCATCGAACACCAACCCGAAATGAGGACGGATTTGATAATTGTGCTACTTATGGGTAGTGTCCTGTCATTTAGGAGCAGGAATAACCTTATTCATTTGTTTTGATTAGTGTGCTGTGCTTTAATTAAATTAATGCATTAGTTTCGAGAATTTTTGCGTTCGTTATCGTATCCTCGCTGTGTTTTAAATCCGGATTGAATTATACACCGCTACCGACGTTCCAACCTCAACAGGCACCTACTACTTATCAACATCCTGTTTCAGATGATGAAGTTTAAAATTTATTTGTGTTTCAAAGGCTCTTGAGTTAGCTTTTCCACTTTATCAATGATCTCAGTGATAATTTGCTCTCCCTCTTCTCTTAATTCCTCGAAAATCATACATACTGCTGGTCAAGCCTCCAAGTCAGCTACTTGTGATGAGCATCGAAAGTCATTCGGATGCTCTCTGATGGTAGATATAGGTTTTACCAATTGTAAATGTGTTTACAAAATTAATATTGCGGATTAAGTCAACGTCCAGAATGGCTCAAGAAAGTGATGATATTAATTTGACGCCTCAAGAACTACAAATCCTCTCGGAGCTGGACAGGTCAGTAGTCGTTCTTGTTATCTCTGTCTCAGTAAATAAAGTTTGTTCTAGAACAGATGTGTGATTAGATCCTTATCTGCATGTTGTGTAAGTTTCCACTAAGCTATGGTGTTAATTATATGGTTAATTCTTCAAAACTAGTTGGAAACTCCGCGACAGGTTGTTCAATGTTTACATGACCCACTTTCCTGTAACACATAAGTTATGGAATGTTTTAAGGGAGACAAAGTGGGCCAATGAGTGTAAAGCTTGAATCTTGCAGTTGGCAAAACTAGCTAAAGTATTCAGATATTCAAATGATTAATAATTTCCTCATGCACCTACAGTACTCTCTCATTATAAGAACTCAAGGGACCGGTCGACTACCGCTATATAGAGGTTTCGGTCGTAAGGATAGTATGTATTCAGCACTGATAGTTCAAGGGATCAACCAAGTCCCTTGTTATAGAGAAGTTCTTGTTACAATAATAGTCGCTAAGAAGAGAGAGTACTGCATGTGGAATATCGTCGGAAGCCGAAGCTCATAATGACCACCATGCCCCCTTGTAGTAACCTCTGCTCATTCTGTTTCATACCTCTATGCCCTCATGCAGCTGAGGAATTCTTGGTTCAAATCTTTATGATGTTGGATAGCTTAAGGGTCGGCACAGGCTCTACAAATTGATCTCGACCTAAAATGCAGCACTAATTTCTATTCTTACGAAAGAAAATGACCGTCGAAAGAGAGTACCTAGTGCAAGAAGAGCAACCATTTGAACCTCAATTTAAAAGTCCACAGAAAGAGAAAATAAGGCAAGGCAATGAAAAGATGAGACAGTGGCACTGGCAGGAAAGGGATCTTATGGTTAAGACTGAAGATGAGGAAATACGGTAGACTACAATCAAGCAGTACCTATCAGTTTGACCAGTTTGTCTGCGCTGAGCAGTTGAGACGTATCACCTTAAAAGTGGTGATTCTTGGCACCAAAAATTAAAAAGTACTATGCGGCCTCTGAATGTTTTACCTAATTTTTAACATTACCTGATAATTTATAATTTTCTGCGTCTGTCAGTTTATTATCAAGTTAGAATGGCTTTGCTTTATTTAGATCCACACCGTAGTGGTGCAAAATTTGCATGATTCTTTATCCCCATGGTTCATTGCCTTCTCATAAAATGATGGTTTCATTGTAAGCCCTAAAAGTTACTCTTAAAATTTAAAACCAAGACCAATCCACACAGGTCAGTCATTGCGCAGCTTTTTTGAAATCCACTCCCCCGCCCGGCCCTAACTCGCAGCACTCAATGCTACGTCACAATGAGTGCTCCCATAAGAAATACATTGCAAGCACTCAATACTACGTCACTGCGCAGTAGAGTACCAAAACTCGTCCTCGGGAATGACTGACCTGTGTGGATTGGTCTTGTTTAAAACGAATCTCATCTACCTATTTTGCCTCTGGAGAAAGATTCAATCACTATTAATTCTTCCTGTTTTTCTGTGTTTTAGTCGGCAATTTGGATTCCTGAAATTGAATTCGCCAGAGCAAAGCAAGAAAAAAGCCCTTGTCCTGAAGGTGAGCTTCATTTCCCTTATGTTTTTGGTGCACCTGAATGCCCACATTTGTTTAGCTTTTTTTTTTTTTCAGATAAGCTTATTTAAAAAAATACTGTAAGAATTGGTCCAAGGTGAGATTTTGACGCTAAATTTCTTTTGAACCTTTATTTTATTCTCATGGAGAAAACAGAACTCACTTACTTGAACCTAGTAATGCGTAATATTTTAAGCTTTCACAAAAACCAATTGAAAAATTGTGTATTTCCAACTAAGTAAATACATGGAGATGAAACTTGCTTAATTTCTCACTTTTCACTAACCTGCTAGAAAAGTTGCGTATTTGCTGCGATACTGATATGGATAACACGTATAATAATTTCTTATGTTTTTACAAAATCGCCGGATGAGTCGCATATTTTTTAAATGTTTACGGAAATTTGCATGAATTTCCCTATGAATCAACACTGGTCAAAGCGGAAATCAAGCCTACAATTATTCAAACTCGAGCATAGGTATGCAGTATCACGCAAAAAGTAATGCAAATCTTGGCTTTTTGCCTGTTTAAAATTACTGACATTTATGAATACCATGATATTTTTGCAAAAAATGCATAGTCACCTATCTAGCTATGCTAATATAGCTATCATGATGTGAGAGGGAGCTACGTAGTAAGTAACTATTCTTCAAGTAAGGGAAATACGAGACATGTAATCAGTGCAGATAATTTTGAATGTTTCTTTTTTAATTCCTGTGGCTTTTATGTTCCAAACGCAGGCTATTCGATATTTGGAGCGAATGTTGATTCAACATCAAAATGAAAAGGAACTTGAGAAAACCAAAGATGAGGAAGTCAAGAGAGATTCATCTATCAAAGAAATCACCATTGATCCAAAGACTTACTGTAAATTGGGTCATTTTCATTTGCTGTTGGAGGACTTTCCCAAAGGTTGGTAACAACTATGCTCATCAGTTCTCTCGTCCCTCAATTTATAGGAATTATTCACTGCAATAATTCTATCAGTTTTAAAGTTTACCATTGAAGTCCAGCTCACTTCCATTGAAATAATTAAATACATGAAATAAAAAAAAAATAAAAATCTGTGATTATGGATAGAAAGTAATTAAGTTAACTTTTTTTCTCCGGAACGTACGTAATACTGTTCACTCCTCCTGTTCTTTCATTTATTTATGTAGTGAAAAAACCTTCTCAACTTAGTTTCCCATTGCATCGAGCCTTGAAGGTTTGGAATTCAAACAGACAAGTATTGCGACGGTGTAAGTTGGCCAATCACATAACTCGGTTTGCGACGTTGTAGACTGCCTGTCATACTTTATTTTTTAAACGGAAAAATACTCATCGGAAATTCTTTAAAACTGCCGTGATCTTTCTTCTCTGTGCAAAAAAAATTCTGTAAAAACTTCAAGGATTGATGTCAATCTGTTCTCCTTTAAAAATTAACATGGAGGCGGAGATTTTCAGGCACCGCAAACGAGATATGTGATTGCAGACTTGCGCCGTCAATTTGCTTGATTATCATTCCTCTGTTTTTCCCCCCACATGTAACTATATATCGATATGTAACATCCTGTGGCAGGTGACCATACTCATGGAAATCGTCTAAATGTTAAAACTTGTGTGAAAATTTTAATCAAAGAAGGGATTAGAACCTTTCGTAAATTATCCTTGCAGGTATAATTTTTATACTTTTAATGAGAATTTAACAAAGCTGAGCAAAATTATGTTTTTTGCATTTTGATGTGAATGCTAGGTCTTGTACAAGAGAGCCCAACGCAGATCTATGCTAATTGTAAGATGTAAATTATTTACAGAGATGAAGTCTTTATTAGTTAGTTAATAAAGGTATGTAAGGAATTACTTCATCTGATTTCTGGACTTAAATTTTTAGATGAAAGACTCTTCGTAAGAATTTTTATCTTCAGATTTGCAATTCTCCTGTCTAGGAGCTATTCTTCAAAGTGTTTTCTTCAAGTTTGAATATGGAAACAACCAATCAAGACCTATATTTGTCCATTTAGATTAATTTTTTGAATTTATCAACAGCAAAATTGAATATAAACAATAAGAAATTATCAGTTTTAATAGTTCTTGTTCTCTAATTGGATAATTTATTTTTCCAGCCATGTCTGCTTACCAGAAATTTTTCAATCTGAAAACGGATCACTGGAAGGATGCCAATTTTCTTTATGGGCAAGGGCTGGTGTATTTCCACTTCAATTCCTTCCAATGGTGAGTCAAACCTTTGTACCCCCTTTTCATAATCAGGTTTTTTTTTTGCTTTTATTTTGAGGAATAAAATCTAGTTACGACAATTATTGTCTCCAGCCCACCAGTGGTCCCAATCAGCATAACCAATCAGGACCGCGTGTGGAATGTTCAGCATCGTGCAAAAGAGTTCGGACCCTGCCTTCAGGTTTAAGAGGCATCTGAAATTGTCTTGTCCTCATTTTATGCATTCTGTTGTTTAAATGAGAGCTCCGGTCCAGACTTTCTTTGAATTTGAACATTCAAGCACAAGGAGAAATAATTTATTTAAGAAATTCAGTTATTTTTATGAGCATTCAAGACCAATCCCTGCCATGCTATCCTCCTCCTCTTCAGTGGCGTGGCATGCTGTACAATGAATCTACCGTTTAATTTTTATATAAAAGAATAGACTCTCGGGATGTTTCAAACGAAATACCTAAATATCGATTCGTTACCATAGCTTCAAATAGGAAAACATTGATAGTCATTGATTCACGGCTCGCCTCTGTCCCTCTTTAAATGGCATAACAACCCTTAGTGGGCTTTGGTCACCAGAACAACTTCTCGCTACTTTACCCCATTTTTAACCCTCAAAATTGTAAATCCAGCCATGGAAATGTCAGGAAATGTGAAATTCGACTTTTAAAAACCAGTGAAATGTGTTACTCGTGGCATCATTTGGGGCAGGCAGGTGGAGGCAAGAGCAGTTGCTCCCTCCCACGCATTTTATTGTTGACCTTTTTTTGTTCAATTTTCACCTCATTCGAATGTTGACCTTCCTTATCATCCCGTGTTTGCAGCCTCAAACAGATGCATGTATACTTCTTGTTCAAAACTCAGAATGTAGATTTTTCCAATTTGCCCTATTCCATCTATTCAATCGCATGGACTCAGCTGCCTAGCTGAGGTTTTTTATTTTTTTTTTTTTCAAATCTTGTCAAATACCTAATAAGACTTTGGCATACATCCAAAAATGTCACACAATTTTGATCAGGGCGTTGTGCAAATCTTTTCCGTGGAAACGTAGCGCGTCGCAGAAAATTGCGGAGGCCTCCTGGAAAATGGTGGTGGACCAGAACAATCTGCACCCTTGGTCTTGGAGACAGGGGTTACTAATTGGACTACATTCTGCAATTCGGAACTATAATATCTGGTTCATCCGTAAAAGCACTTACGTACATGGGGAAACTACTGGAACATAGGTTTTTTCTACACTGAGCCAAAAACATTAGTTCCGAATCTCAAAATGAAGTCTAGTTGCAAGTGCGGTCGTGTGACGCTCGGTGGAGCGAATAAGTGGGCGTGATTAGCCATGATGCGGAAACTTTGAAAGCTTTAATCTTCGTAAATACGAAACGTAGACGTTTAAAAGTAGCTCCATCGGTTATTTTGTAACCCTCTCGAAAGCACCCTTCTTAATTTATAATGTGACGAACTGAATGTCAAAATCGTCAATTTTGGTCGAAAATTTCATGTCCACCGTTTCCGATGATTCGTTCCTTTGTGTGATGTTCAAAGTGGGCTTGGGTGCAGCGAGGCAGCGGGATCATTCTCATCGCTGGCCACTCTGCACCCACTGGGTCGACTTGGAGAGAGATACGAGAGCGTTTGCGCCATGCAGTCCACCTTGAAAATGCGCTTGCAAGCCCCACTACGTTGCCGCTAACACGAGAAAAACGATAGCCGAGCGCGTTAACGAAAGTCCGTGTTCACGGTCGGTCCTAGGGTAACCCAGAATAAAAAGCGGATATTCGTTTCGGTCTCACGCCCGGAAAGCCGTCCCGAAATTACGTAACGCTCTAGTAGGAGGAGGGGGGGGGGGTC